GAGCCTGAGCCCGTCGCCTGCCCGCCAGAGCCTGAGCCCGTCGCCTGCCCGCCAGAGCCTGAGCCCGTCGCCTGCCCGCCAGAGCCTGAGCCCGTCGCCTGCCCGCCAGAGCCTGAGCCCGTCGCCTGCCCGCCAGAGCCTGAGCTTCAAGCCAGCCCTACAGAGCCTTCTCTACTGGTCCCATCCAGCCCTCCCAAGCCTGACCTGATCCACGTCCCGTCTGCCCACCCAGAGACTGTCCACGTCCCAGAGCCTGTCCCAGAGCCTGTGATTCCCCCCAAGAAAGTTTTGGGGGGGGGATATAGGCCACCTGAAGGTGCGTCTCCACCATGGCCACCTGAAGTGGCCTCTCCACCCTGGCCACCTGAAGTGGCCTCTCCACCCTGGCCACCTGAAGTGGCCTCTCCACCCTGGCCACCTGAAGTGGCCTCTCCACCCTGGCCACCTGAAGTGGCCTCTCCACCCTGGCCACCTGAAGTGGCCTCTCCACCCTGGCCACCTGAAGTGGCCTCTCCACCCTGGCCACCTGAAGTGGCCTCTCCACCCTGGCCACCTGAAGTGGCCTCTCCACCCTGGCCACCTGAAGTGGCCTCTCCACCCTGGCCGCCCGAGGGAAAGTCTCCACCCTGGCCGCCCGAGGGAAAGTCTCCGCCCTGGCCGCCCGAGGGAAAGTCTCCGCCCTGGCCTCCTGCACGTCCTGCTCCGCCCTGGCCTCCTGCGCGTCCTGCTCCGCCCTGGCCTCCTGCACGTCCTGCTCCGCCCTGGAGGCTTCCTGCTCAGGGTAGGCCACTCCCTCGTCAGCCTCCAGGGCGCCCACCCCCCCACCCTTATTGATGTTACTCGGCGCGAGGACGCGCCTTGCAGGAGGGGGAGCTAATGTTACATGTATGTCCTGTGTTTCCCCCGTTCTTTGTGTATTTGGTTTAATCCTGTGTCACTTTTCCCGCTCCTCGTTAGTTCTCAGTTCCTTCACCTGTCTACCTGTCATTATCAGTTCATTTGCCCCAGCTGTGTCTTGTTCTCATTATCCGTTCTAAGTGTATTTATACCCTGTGTTCTCCCTCACTCCTGGTCGGTTCTCGTTCGTATGTACGTTTGTATATGGTGTGTTAGTGTTTTCTGGATTCCTGGTCTGAGTTATTTAGTAAAGATTATTGTATTTGATCTGCTGACTGCTGCCTCTCCTTCAACCTGCACCACACCCGTAACAGCGTTATGGTTATTGTGTTACAAACGTGTACGCACAGAACAGAGGGGCGGGGTGAGCACAGCTCATGATCATTTAAAGGCATATGCACTGAAACGGCGTGCTGAAAACAGAGCTGTTTTTGACCAGGTAAAATAACTGTTTTCTTACAATACTAATGAGAATTTTTAATTAAAGTATATTACAAACTTTTAATTTAGACCCTAAAGAATCATATTAGCTTGTACAAAAATGGCATTATATGACCCCTTTAAATATATAACTATTCAATGGTATTATTTAGAATTGTATCAAAGAGTGTTTTTGAACGATTGAACACCCATTAGGGTGAAATCATCATACCTGAAATGCCACTGCGACTGTGAATCTTTTTGAAATCTGTTAATTTACAATAATTGTCCAAACTAACCAATTTACCAGAATGAAACTGACTTTTTAAATCTACAGTGTCAGAGAGAGGTCCGTTTAGGATGAACCGATTCGCTAGATTAAATCAGACATTCAAAAGCTAGTCTACATATAAACAAGAACCATTTAAGATGAACTGATTCACTAGAATGAATAGAACTTTCTGAACTAATTCACTAGAATGAATAGAACTTTCTGAACTAATTCACAAGAGTGAATAGAACTTTCCAAACCAATTCACTAGAGTGAATATAACTTTCCTAAACGATTCACTAAAATGAATAGAACTTTCCAAACTGATTCACTAGAATGAATAGATCTTTCCAAAGCTACATATGAGAGAGGTTCGTTAGGACAAACTGATTCACTAGAATGAATAGAACTTTCCGAACTAATTTACAAGAGTGAATAGAACTTTCCAAACCAATTCACTAGAATGAATATAACTTTCCTAACCGATTATTCATTCTAGTGAATCGGTTTGGAAAGTTCTATTCATTCTAGTGAATCGGTTAGGAAAGTTCTATTCATTCTAGTGAATTGGTTCAGAAAGTTCTATTCATTCTAGTGAATTAGTTCGGAAAGTTCTATTCATTCTAGTGAATCGGTTTTGAAAGTTATATTCACTCTTGTGAATTGGTTCAGAAAGTTCTATTCATACTAGTGAATTAGTTCGGAAAGTTCTATCCATTCTAGTGAATCAGTTTGTCCTAACGAACCTCTCTCATATGTAGCTTTTGAAAGTTCTGTTCATTCTAGTGAATCGGTTTGGAAAGTTCTATTCACTCGTTAGGACAAACTGATTCACTAGAATGAATAGAACTTTCCGAACTAATTCACTAGTATGAATAGAACTTTCTGAACCAATTCACAAGAGTGAATATAACTTTCAAAACCGATTCACTAGAATAAATAGAACTTTCCGAACTAATTCACTAGAATGAATAGAACTTTCTGAACCAATTCACTAGAATGAATAGAACTTTCCTAACCGATTCACTAGAATGAATAGAACTTTCCAAACCGATTCACTAGAATGAATAGAGCTTTCCAAAGCTACATATGAGAGAGGTTTGTTAGGACAAACTGATTCACTAGAATGAATAGAACTTTCCGAACTAATTCACTAGTATGAATAGAACTTTCTGAACCAATTCACAAGAGTGAATATAACTTTCAAAACCGATTCACTAGAATGAAAAGAACTTCCCGAACTAATTCACTAGAATGAATAGAACTTTCTGAACCAATTCACTAGAATGAATAGAACTTTCCTAACCGATTCACTAGAATGAATAGAACTTTCCAAACCGATTCACTAGAATGAATAGAGCTTTCCAAAGCTACATATGAGGTTCGTTAGGACAAACTCATTCACTAGAATGAATAGAACTTTCCGAACTAATTCACAAGAGTGAATAGAACTTTACAAACCAATTCACTAGAATGAATAGAACTTTCCAAACCAATTCACTAGAATGAATAGAACTTTCCTAACCAATTCACTAGAATGAATAGAACTTTCCAAACCGATTCACTAGAATGAATAGAACTTTCCAAAGCTACATATGAGGTTCGTTAGGACAAACTCATTCACTAGAATGAATAGAACTTTCCGAACTAATTCACAAGAGTGAATAGAACTTTACAAACCAATTCACTAGAATGAATAGAACTTTACAAACCAATTCACTAGAATGAATAGAACTTTCCTAACCAATTCACTAGAATGAATAGAACTTTCCTAACCAATTCACTAGAATGAATAGAACTTTCCGAACTAATTCACAAGAGTGAATAGAACTTTTCAAACCAATTCACTAGAATGAATAGAACTTTCCTAACCGATTCACTAGAATGAATAGAACTTTCCAAACCGATTCACTAGAATGAATAGAACTTTCCAAAGCTACATATGAGGTTCGTTAGGATAAACTGATTCACTAGAATGAATAGAACTTTCCGAACTAATTCACAAGAGTGAATAGAACTTTCCAAACCGATTCACTAGAATGAATAGAACTTTCCAAAGCTACATATGAGGTTCGTTAGGATAAACTGATTTACTAGAATGAATAGAACTTTCCGAACTAATTCACAAGAGTGAATAGAACTTTCCAAACCAATTCACTAGAATGAATATAACTTTCCTAACCGATTCACTAGAATGAATAGAACTTTCCTAACCGATTCACATGAATGAATAGAACTTTCCTAACCGATTCACTAGAATGAATAGAACTTTCCAAAGCTACATATGAGAGAGGTTCGTTAGGATAAACTGATTCACTAGAATGAATAGAACTTTCCGAACCCATTCACTAGAATGAATCGAACTTTTCTTAGGCTCACGTAAGAAAGAAAGAAAGTTGTTTATCTCCTCTCACTCTCACTCAGCTGTAATACAAATGTGACATTGGAAACAACGATTGTTGGACTATAATAATAGTTTGGAAAAGCAGCTTGTTACTGGAAAAGTACTGTTTTGAAAGCAGCCAATCTTCTGTCGTGTTACTCACTGTAACCTGTGGTTGGAGTGTCACCGTCATAGTGTCACACACTGTCTGAATCATATAGCATATAAGTCAATACATTTCCTTATTCAAAGACTAGTTTTGATGGAAGAAAGAATCGCTGTAAAAGTGAGCTAAAAATCACACAACGTGGATGTTGTTGCATTAATAGAAATAGCAGTCACGATTCTGGAGAGCTGTGTGGATCTGTTTACAGGTGCAAAATTAAAATAGCCTACATTATTTTTATAGGTAGTAAATATACACTTCGGTGCATGCACAAAAAAGTATTGTTTTGCTGTTTAGTTTTATTCCACACCATTAGTATATTCTGGCAGCTTTGACTGGGTGGAAAATAAATTCCCCACCTGTTGTTCAGTAGTCAAGTGTATTTATCATGTATGAAAGATATGCCATCTGTGATTAAACACTCCATGATAAAAAGACAAATAAACAGCACATGACACCGTTTTTGAGTAGTAAAATATTTTATAGAGCTTTTTAATGGATTCTGAAATTAGGCATTCACAAAGAATGAAATGACACACTTCTTAAATCCACTTTCTCCCCCATTATCTCTGCCTTAATATCGCTGTGCGTGTATAGTTGTTAGATCGTCTACATAAAAGCGTTAAGCATGTGGAATAATTGATTCGTTGAAACGTTTTCATAGTATAAAAGCTGGTGTTTTGACCCTCATTGCTCCAAAATGATGAATCAGTAACTGGCTTCCATTTCTTACCTGTAATTCCTCTTTTTATCTGTCTCTCTTTCTTTATTGTCGTCTTTCCTTATCGTCCTGTCTCCTGCTGTCACTGTGAATCAATCACGTAGTAAGTACTGGCTCAAAGGGTACATGAACCAACAAAAAGCCCCTTCTCCCCCTCCGCTCTCACCCTTTCATGATTTTGAGACATGAATTACCACCATGAATCTGGAAAATTAAAGCAGAATAAACAGACTTTAAAGGTGCAAAAAGTGATGTTAGCCATTTGGCAAAAAACAAACACTCCAAATGAATCACAGCAAGAGAGTGTTTCTGATTGGTCAACACCTGTAATTCACTTAAAAAGGAAATAATGACAGAATATATATATTTTTTTAAAGGATGTTTTTTTTTAGGTGGAAAGTTTTTAATTCTCTCCATGGACTATAAATCTGAAATATCAAAGCAAACAGCCTTTAAGCCCACAACATTAATCTTGATTAAAAAATGTGCCTTCTGTGAAAATGACAGAAGATGCTTTAAAAAAAGATAATAAATAAGGGCTCCTCGTCAAGGAACGCATGTAGCGGATGATGTGCCTCTAAACGGGACCCGGAAGAGAAGAGGCTTGAGGTTGGTTGGAAAACCATCCTTGTTGACTAATGATGTCACGTCCTGCTTATAAAGTGTTCAGAGGAACCAGAAGCATTTCCTGCGGCTCTTCTTGACCGTCTGGAGGGCCTGCGGAGAGTCCTGCTGGCGTGGAGGAGGAAAGACCAGCTGAGGAGAGCTTTGCTCCGATTCCTGCTGCTCCGGAACCTTCCACGCTCGCGTCACCTGGCCCTCCTGAAGCCGGAAGTCGTGCTCCACGCTGAAAGACAAGGATGTTTACATTGCATTGATGGTTGCATGGAAAACTTTAACATTCATTCATAAAAGGTTCAAAGGTTTTAAGAGCGTAAAATGGTTCTGTTATAGATCTGTTGCACTGAAAGGTTCTTTGGGCAATCAAAAATGGTTCTTCTATGGAATCACTGCAAACCCCACCTTTTGGAGCCTTTATTTTTAAGAGCGTAAGTTCCTAGTTTAGGCCCTGTTCACACCTGGTATTAAGATGCGTTTTGGTCGATCGGATCACAAGTGGACATGGCTAAATACTCAACGCATTCTCATCCCAAAGCGTAATATATTGACTCTTTTGCCAAAGCGTCTATATCCAACGCACATGGCACCCTTTAGCGTCAATATAACACGCTTCGGTTTTGGGTAGGTTTAGGTCTGGGGTAGTGTTAGGGCTAGACCACTAGGAGGCGCCATATATCTGCGTCTCATATGACGCTAAAGGGTGCCATGTGCGTGGGATATAGACGCTTTGGCTAAAGAGTCAGTATATTACGCCTTGGGATGAGAACGGGCTCAAATACTAGGGGTGTAACGATACACGTATTCGTATTGAACCGTTCGGTACGAGGCTTTCGGTTCGGTTTTCGGTACGCATTTTTGTACCGAACGCATTTTTGGACCATTTTTCCTGGCGACCAAAATTTCGTTATTTCAAATGTAGGCGCGTCGCGCGTGGCAAGCGCGCTCATAATGTAAGAGACGCTGGCGTGACCACAACATCGCCCAACATCAAATGGCAAATGTAATGTAAGCGGAACGAAACTGAGCTGCTCGTTATTGTGTGGTTGACGGACCGTTTATCAGTTTGGACCAATGCAGCGCGAGCCGATCTTAATCATCAGCACTGTCACAACACAGCGCTGAGACATCCAGTAAAGAAAGCATTTGACTTCGCCACTGAGTAATAACATCGCTGCGAGATCTAGTGAGAAACATTCACATTTCTCTGTTATTAACGGATCAAACAGCGCTGACGTGGAAACCAGGAAGAAACATTGTGCCATGAATGAACTATCCAGTGTCCACAGATCAGCAACATTCACCGTAGATTTACTGTAGTAACACTACTAACTGTAACCATGGAAGTTTGGCAGGAATAGTAGGCTATAATGCTTTCAAGTAACATTACGTCGGTTTTATTTTGACATTATGAATACAATTACTGCCCTCAAATGTTAATCTGAACTAAAATAAACCTACTACAATATTACATTTCATTTTGTCCAAGGAGCTGTTTTGTTTTATAAGCTCCTAAGAAAAGTCAAGTATAGCTCCATCATTGCTCAGTTAAAAAATATCATACTTTATGATGTTAGTTTTAATAAAAATATAATAAAACAAATTAAATCAAGGAAATTTCTCTGGCATTTCTTTCTTTTTGCTGTATCGGAAACGTACCGAACCGTACCGAACCGAACCGAACCGTGCACAAGTGTATCGTATCGAACCGAACTGTGAATTTTGTGAACCGTTACACCCCTACTAAATACAGGTGTAAACAGAGTCTAAAGCGCTTTGAGCTTGTCCACTCTTGACCACTTCCAGAGGTTGTCGAAACCGCATTCGACAGGATTGCTTTCTTAGTGTAAACGCTCATGCGGTCGAATGCGTTCGAGAAGGCACAAAAGACTGTCTACTCTCTTCTCTGGTTTGAAAATGAAAAACATACCAAGCACAATGTTCTCTCAACATTCCTGATTTCTAAGACACACTCACAGCGTTCGGCTGGTCTTGTGGCTGTCAGAGCAGAAACTAAACCTGATGCTCTCCGTGTGTTTTTCCGTCGTCTCCGGTCGTGTTCATATATAAATTGCACAAGCTTATTTTGTCCACTAGATCGAAAGATCTAAAAAAAACACATATTTACCAGCCCATAGACCCTCCCCTTGAAGAAATCAGGACAGAAGTGGTTGAAAGTGGATGGCAACAGATTAAGGCCACGTTTACACAAAGCCGGGTATTTAGAGAAATGAATATTCTCCCCCCGTTTGTGAGAAGCAGCATTTACTGTGAACCGAGCTGCTCTGAAAACACGCTATTATACCACAGCGTCACTGTTCACTCTGAAACACGCAGCGCATCAGCTATGTAGTTCCACCGGTGGGCCCAAATCCATTACATTTTTAAAACAGTAATATCCTATACTAAACCTAAACTAATCATGACAAACTATATATCATTTGAAAGCTTACAATCTCTAGTTTCCATATTTGGTGATTAATTTTCAAAATAAATTACAGAGTATGAAAATCAAATATTTTCATACTCCTAAGGCGTGTTTAGACCTTTATTTTGAAATAGTGATGAACATGAAAAATCATGAAAGAAGGGTAGAAACCTCAGTTTGTTTTCATGCCAAGAGTTCAAAAGATAGCATCCATTCAATTATTTTTGAAAAAAAGGTCTGAAATTTATTTTAAATATAAAGAAAAAAATTATAGATTCACCATTTGTGATGTGGCAGCAAGCTATAACGCAAATACTTGTTCTTTTTATGTGTTTCTTAGAGGTTGAATTCATATTAAAAACTTCACATATGACTTCTGAATAGGATGTCTACTTCATAAATTGTATGAAAATTGTGGAAATAATGGTTCAGATCACTCAAAACACACATATGGAAATGGAGGTGCCCTTATATGGGCAGTAATGGAGTCTGGTTGTGCCCTAGTGGAAGCGTTCGGGACTGCGCCCAAACAAAATCTCACTGAAAGCTCATTTTTTGAGATATCAACCTAAAATTTGAAACACAACTTGTTCATATTTTTGGCTTTGATTTTTTTTGTGCAGTTTTAGAGTTGCTCAGGTTTTGAAAATATATATTTTATATAAAAGATGAATAATTAATTTTTTTTACATTGTACATTTTCATAAACTCAAACTTCTGTAACTTTTTTTTCTGTTTCACTTTCTTAATTTATTTCACTTCTACAAAAATCTGCCAAATGTCTTCTTTAAAACGAGACCAATCTTACGTCTACATTCCAAAGCATTCTTGAATTACAACCATTTAAGTTCGAAATGTGCATTTTCATGTATATATAAAAAAGGGGGGGGGGGGGGGGGTGACACTTAACAGGTTAAATCACAACCTTTGATTTTAGATTTATTTCAATTAATTGTGCAGCCCCATTTATTGGTTTGAATGTTACATTAAATGCAGCTTTTCATCAAATCACGAACTCCCTTTTGGAAACCCTGCATTAAGAGAACGCGCATATGCTGTTACAGCGCTGTTTCTAAACATAAAACGGTGATGATCTCTAAAAAATGTAAGAGTTTCAGAAGTTTGCCTTTATTATATGTAAAAGTAGAGCTTTGAGATTCTTTAAAGTATCTGATTTTGTCAAAGAAACGAGTAAACGATCACAGAATTGTCTTTTCCTTTAGAAATCTAGGGGAAAAATGCCCTCAACAGAAGACTTCAAAATAGCTATAGCCTGCGGAAAAATAAAGGTGCATATAAATGCATATGAACGTTTGCCGTTGACATTTTGTCAGCAGCACAGAGCCTGACAGCTGGGATTGTTGCTGATGATGCACTGGCCCAGATAGCTGGCAAACGCTGATGTGGACATGAAGCAGCTTTCCCAGAGTACGGATAGAGTGCCACTGAACAACACGGCTATAACTCTTCATACTAAATGTGACTAATGAGATCATTGTTCCTCTTATATATATTCATATGCTCTCAATTTATTGCAGAGGGAGAGAGAATTACCTTCATCGAGTGGTACCTTAGTTCCCGTGTCAAGGCACTCACACTCACACACTTCGCCTACGAAATCCCCCAGAGAACGCCGATGTCAGACAGACAGGGAACACTATGTGCTTTCCGTAACAATAGCACTTTTAAACCTCTTCAAAAAATCCCTCTTCCAACCTCTTACCTTGCAGTCAGTCTCTCTGCATCGGCTTAAAGACTAAAGGCCTCATGTAGATGTTGTGTTCGCACAAAAAAGTCTTCGCACACACGTCCAGGATTTATAAGAAACCAATGTGACTTGAGAATGTTTGCGCACTCTTTTGTCTGGTGTTGCCGGTTTAACAGGTCAAGTGACAAACTAGGGAATTGAAGATAATCACTAGTCAAAATATGCTATAAGATTTATACTGGAATCAATTATAATTGGAAAACAATCCTAAAGAATCCTAATAGGAATTTTCTTGTAGGATTCCAACCAGCACATTGTCACGATGCTCTCAAACTAGAAGAAAAATTAAGTTTCGATCTTTTCAGTCTTTGCCAGGTATTCAACACATTACAACTTGAAAGTCATACACCTAGGCATGGAAAACAAACAAGACAAAAATGCCTTCTTATTAGAAATACAGTTTTTTCTCATTGTTTTTGGAGAGTCCTGTGTCTTCATCAGTTGATTACTGTATTATTTGTTGTCCACACCCACTCAGGTGTATGTATTTAAATATATTATTATTGTGACAACGTGCTATTCTTTTGTTCTTTTTTGAAGGCCTTCTTGGATGTTTTTGGTCATCCACACTTTTGAAAAAAGTTTCAATGGGGTTATACTCTTGAGTTTTAAAGAACCCTTTATGCCAAAAAGGTTCTATATAAGGAGAAACATCTTAAATGACTGCATAATGCTTTCACGTTTAATGAGTTATTTTGATGTATGAGCTTATCTTTTATGCTTCTGAATAGGATCAAATGTTCTTGTAGGACATGAAAGGAATTGAATGTAGCAAAACATTATTCCAATACAATATGCAGGCAGAGTTATGATAAAGATAGACAATATTTAAAAGAATAATTTTCACATATTCTTATTTGACTGGTTCCAAATTATGATAAAATTCCAACTGTCCTGTACACATTCCTTCAGGATCTTCAAGGTTATGGATACTTCAAAAAGCACTTTTCACTAAATGTATCTGTCATGTTCAAAAGGCAACTCTACAGTTGCAGCTGGTTTTACTAATGAAATCAACTGCACAAGTTTACTT